ATTAAATTTGTTAATAGAATAATAAAAATTATAATAATAAAATAAAATGTGAATTAATAATAATGAATAAATAATTATTTAATTAATTAATTAAGATGAAACTATAGCGCCGTGAGTAATCGTCGTTTAATTATACGATAATTTCCGGTTTCGCGAGTAATCGAGAAAGTATACACGTCTCGATTGACAGCGGCGAAAGCATTGTCTAAGTGTAACGATAGAGAAAAAAAACTACTTTTAGATGAAAAGATAATGTCTTACCATTGTCAAATTATCCAGCCTGTCGGCGCGTACCTTCGATCTTATCTATAACAGACAAGTGTTTTACGAACACTTTCAGAGACTCAGAGACTCGGGTCCTTTTATTGCGATTCAAAATAACATAATGCGACCAGAAGAGATGGTGCGCGGGAAAGAGAAGGGCAAGAGTGCGAGAGAGAAGGAGAGAAGATCATGTGTACAACCGTAAAGATCTACGAGCGGACATGCTGCGACGGTAGAGGCAAATGATTGATGTATAAGCCACTAATCCCGCACAGGCAATCCCCAAAGCTTGCGTAAATTAAATTGGGAATCTGGCACGAAATTAGGATAAATCTATTATCTGGCTATGTACGTTGGGTGGCTTTTGTATGTATATGTGTGTGTATATAGACCACTCTCGGCGTTGTTGACACGCAATTCAATGCTCACAACGCATATGATCCTTGGTGCGGATTTTTACGTATGAATAGGATTAGCAGGTGTATATAATGTAAAGCGAAAGGGCGTGCTCGTGTCTGCGCATTCAAATAAAGAGGGTTTGATTTAATTACAGAATTTCAGTCCGGATATATTATGCGTGGGAGGATGCGAAAACTGTTCCATGACCTTCTTCTTTCCTTTTAATCGCGACTACTTGTCTGGAAATCTCGAGTCAATTTTTTCTTCGTAATAAAATCGTCGTGGCATTAATGCACATCATATCTTTAAACTAATAAAACATTAAGAATAAAGAGTTTTTCGCGAATGGATTTTTACAGATAAAAGTGTACTTTACAAAAAAAAAAAAATTATAGATATATATTTAATATTTAAAATTTAGATTTTTAAAATGTAGAGAAAAAAGATCACACACATCTGTGAGTTTCGCAGACTCGGAGTCGTTTACGTTTTAACAGGGTCAGAACTCTCGTTAACAATGGTGACACCTGTTTTACGTCGGTCCATTATCGTGAAGTTGAGACAGCATCGTTGTAATAGGACGAGACGACGATTTCAGCTGATTTTAGAATGTTCGCGAGAGACATTGCGACATAAGGATGTCATGCACCGCGTGATAGATGATTCAGGTAGATCACGTTACGAATCCCGATGCGAATTTTAGTAGTGTATTTTAAAGTTCGCTTTACTACCCTCATGCACCCTAATGTTCGTTATTCGCCTTCGTAAAGCTGGGCCAATCAATCTTTCCTCAATAACGCGTTTCGAATTAAAAAATTTTTAAAAGAGAATTTCTTTTGTCTTTCTGAAATTTATTGGACAGAGTGTCTGTTTGTAACTTTTTTTCAAGGATTTATCTTATATATCCGTGAATATTGATTAAAGGAAAGATTTTAAAGGTAAAACTGATGCAGACATAAAAATTAGAGTTATGTCGGATGAAATTTAGCGGACATGTAAAATTAATTAAAGGTAACGCATCAAAATCAATTTCTTTTTTTTCCGCGTATGACGTTCATATTTGTGACAAGATAAATAAACATGGTTACATTTCGAGAATACATTTGAGAGAATATATTTTGTTGATGTGTTTTATCCGCATGTTTTGTCGACGTTCGTTCATATTGCAAATTAAACGACTATGCCACTCGAAATTCTCATTTTCCAATAAGCATAGCTAATTAAAGGTCGGTACATAAATATTACACGCGTGCTATTTCGCATTCGTTAATACACATTATAATATATTTTATGTCTCATTTTATTGCGTTTTCTGTTGTAACATATTAATATTAATTATAGAGGATATGTCGTCACACGCGTGGGAGTGGCCAGTCGTCTGCCCACTGTAATTACAATAAAACTGTTATTAAATTTAAATCTGGTTCAACAAAGTTTTCAATAAACGATACACATGCATTATTTGCCGCGCGAATACGTAATAACAGAATAGGGAGCATGAGGTAGTATAGAAAATAACATGTATCTCTTGTGTATGTGTGTGTGTGTGTCTGCTTTCTTCCGGAGGATAGATTCGGATTCGAGTTTTATTTACGTTCGTTCGTGCGAAAATTTTTCATTCACCGTTATATAGATATTCGCGAGACTTTTCGAAAAAGGAATTTTTAATCTCGCATTCAGTATTACAATTTTTGTATATTATTATGCGTTTATCTCGATATATTTTTTCATAATAATTTTTGAGAAATAAATTTTTGTATTACTTTTCCATTTTTTAATCTATTTTTTTTCTAAAAGATATATTTTTTAATAAATATTTTCTATAAAAATATATATTAACTATACACATACACAGAGTACTTATCTTTTCGAATTTAGTTCATTTTTTATAATTATTATCTAATTTTATTAAATTATTCATTATTTAACTTTTCTATTTTGTAGAACATTTTATATTTTTGTGTTACATTTTTCTTTTTATGTTAAAAGAAATAGTTTTGTTCGTGTGTACATTTTATCGTGCTTTCCGTTTCAATTCTATTCTATGTAAATTATTCATGACACCCGTATCGATCCGTATCGGTTTAGAGAAAGAATGTGCATCCGATTTCCGTCACATAAGATTTTAAACCGAAGATCATAGGGAATACATCTATCTGTGAATATTTGAAAAAATGTGTTAGTAGAATGCGAAAAAAGGATACGACACGCGCATCGTATTCTCGCGGCTATGCTTTTAGGGCGTCGGAAGAAATTGTGTGAGAGAATAATGGCGTTGTCACTTAACATCAAAGTGATGTAAATCGATGCTTCGTGGCAAGGTATAATGTATACGATATATCGATTATATGTAGGCGGTGAAATTCCTTTCGACGTCTAAAGAGGCACTATATTTTTTACTTCATCTTATACATGTTAAAAACTTATACATATATAAGTTATACTCTTTCTGCTTTTTTTTCTAAAGTTAGAGATATTTATATATAGAGAGATTATTTATTTTATATTTTATGTTAACTTTTTATGACGCAAACATATTTTGGGTAAAAGCATCGTTATTAAATAATTATTTTTACAGTAAATTTATTATCGAATTTTAGATAAATATGAATTATGTATTAATTATAATATACAATGAGAATAATAAATGATTACGCGTAATATTAATAATTGTGGAAATGACAAAAATACATACATTTACTTTACATTTATAAATAAAATATTTTCGAAGAAGAAAAATTTTTTTTAGCAAACAAAATTATATGTTATTATATAATATATAAAGAAAAAAATTATAGAAATAATCTATATTTACGAAAAGATACATCTATCTCGATAAAAATCTCTATAAATTTATTATCTCGATGTTTGGTTACGATGCGTGTGCCAGAGACCCGTGACTAAAACAATTATCTTGTTTCAGGACGTTTAATTCTGATTTGCGATCATTAAGTGTGTAATTAACAGCCGCCTGTTGGCCGCGAGATTTCCCGATCTTCGTGCTCGTCGTGGAATGTAATTTGTCGTACAAACGCGAAACGTTGCCCGCGGCGTACTCGCAGTAGGCGATTATCCGTGAAATCGTGGCGATCGTGTCTGATCGTTGGGATATCAACAAGCTCGAACGTTTGAGGATGTCGCGTTCAAACAAACGAGATCCGGACTCGGGGCGAGGGACGGAAAACGAATGAGATGCTATTTTGGCAGCAAAAAAAAGAAAAAAAAAACGGGATGTAACGGCTGCGTGCACGTGCTTATAGGATATGTGCTCCACGGTCTCGTAATGGCCATTTCTGCACACTGCGCGAATGCACGCATCGATCAATAAAGAGCGATTGCCGCCGCAGCCTTCCGCACCTCGCGCTCATCGACTGTCGACTATGTGTGTACGGACGTGCTAGAAGCAGAGCTTGATAGAAAGGGAGAGGTGTGGAGAAGGAGAGGGATTCTCTATGGGATCATTCGTCTCTTGGGGTTCGGAGTTTATGGTAGCGCCGAACCCGACGTAACTGTCGTGCAAATGGCCCATTTGTAAGATATTTTTTCTTTCTCGACAAATGAAAAAAATGTACTCTTTAGCATTGTAATATATAGTTTTATCTGTATTAGCTAATAATAATTTAATTTGTTTTATTATTTTTTTCATCAAACTAACTAATAAATTTTTTTTTTCATTTTATTTTTACATCGTGTTTAAATTTATATTTCTTTATCATTTTATATAGACGCGTATTTCTACTTTTTTTCATATTTTTTTGGACCCTCTTGGGATAAACTCATATTTTTATTCGTTATATATCCCTCAGACTGATTTAGAATGCGGGCTGACCTGGCGAGGTGATTTTATGCGAATTAAAAAGCGAGGGTTTCATGGTCCTTGGTGCGTGAAACTATTTCGTGCGTTTAAGGGTTGCGAGAATCACGCGAAAAAGAATCGTTCCGCCTGGGGAAAAATTTTCTGTTTGTACGACTGCGAACCAAATTATTACATTTGCGATCGATAATGTGTTACGGTCTCTTCCGTTACAATAGATAGGGGTAGTAACAGGTTCTTTATTGCCATTATCGTCGACAGGATTAAAATCTGCTGTGAAGAAAATGGAAATGCGAAACAGCTCAACGTATCATAATAACGTATCATAAGTTTGACAATGAATAATCCATCTATAAGCGAGCTTCCTTCCTCTCTTCTCTCAAGACAAAACCATTAAAGCAATAGACTTCATTGGCATTAAATGCGACCTATTGAAGCCCGTATTTTTGCCGCGCATGTAACGCCAAATGTGATCGTTTGCATCCGTGAATTCTGCATTTGATCCATTTAATAATGCAGTTGATAGACACAAGAGTGTAAATATAAGATAAAAATTAATTGAAACTGGAAATAATTTTTTCACGATTTTATAATATAAATGTTTAACTTTATAATTTTTTTTAACGATATTATAATTAATATTCGTATCGCACAATATGCTACGAATTCTTTCACATCGCGTAAAAATGTGAGGTATTGGGAACACCCTACGATTAAATTAAATTTCGATATTGAGATGAAATATAATTATTTCAATGTTAAAAAATTGATATCTTATATATAGATATATAACTCCAAATTTATAATTTAACTTGATTTTAATAATATT